TTTTTTGATACCAGGCTTTTGCTGTCCCTAATCTTTTTTTGGATCACACATATAACTACCCCCTTAGGGAGTAGACTATCTGGATTAAATTTAGTTGTTGATGGCTTCCAAGGAGGAGACCACCATTTTACCATTAATACTACATAACTGTCTATCTGAGCCTTATTTTAACTATTCCGTTCTCTTTTGTGATTTAGTTTTTTTTTCCTCTAGTGACCAAATCATGTTTCCTTTAATATCTCTGATTAAGCTGATTCATTAGTGCAGCTATCTCTGTTCTTTCAGGTCCATGAAACCCCTCATATAATTCATATTGTATCCTTATATTTTGCATAGTTGAAGAATCCTGTGAGGAACAAGTCTTACACTGACTTATGTAGTCTTGAACTCATGTTTTCAGAGTTCTTTTCCACAGCCTTAAGAACCTAAAAGTCATAGCATTGCCACTTTGCTGAGGATCATCAGACACACTCTTACCTTTTAGAATTGAGCTGTTTCTGATTATCATGGAGTCATTAATCTTGGCAAGGAAAACATTCTCCAATAGCCTTGGCAGGGAGAACATTCCCTGAAGGAGGAATATGAAGTAAAATATGTATTTGTGCAAACAAGCCTTATATGTACAGCAACCATGAGCATTTGAGACGACCCACATCCTGTTAGCTCTTCTCCAGGGTCAGGAACCATGTCACACCTTACCTTCCATGGCCATGCTGCAGCAGACAAAGGCAGTGACTGTTTTGTGGACATGAAGTTCTCTTTTGGGATGGTGACAATGTCTAGGAACTAGATACTGGTGGTGGTTGTGTATCATTGAGAATTTACTCAATGTTATTGAATTACACACTTTGAAATATTTGTGGTTAGATTCATGTTTTATGAACTATAGTTCAGTAAGGAAAAAACCCTACTACAACATAGAATCCTTATGGCAGAAGGGGGTTTGTATTAGTTACTTTTCTGTTGCTGTGATAAGAAAGCATGACTAGAAGCAACTTATCGAAGGTTTGTTTTCACTTATGTTCCCAAAAGGTTAGACAAACTATAATTAAGAGGACATCATGGCAGCAGGCTTCAGGAATAGAATGCTTGCTGATCATATTTCATCAGTCCACCAAGAAGAAGAGAGAGTGAACTGGATATAGGTTAAGATTACAAATTATCAATGTCTATGTTCAATCATCTACTTCCTCCAGCAAGACTCTGTGTCCTGAAACTTTCATAATCTGACTAGCCAATGCACGCTCTGGGGACCAAGTGTTCAAATCTACAAGTCTATGGTGTTTCTCACTGAAACCACCAGAAAGGTGCATCAGTGGTCACAACAATCAAACATTGCCTCCTTAATGAAACTTTAAGAAATAACGTTTTATTTGTGTATCTGTGGAAATGCATGGTGTGTCTGTCTGTCTGTCTGTCTGTCTGTCTTTCTGTACACAGAAGCTGGAATACAGTGCCCCCTCTCTCCTGGTGTTGGAGTAAGAGCCAGTTGTGGTCCACTCAACTGTGGATGCTGAGAATCAAATGTGGGTCCTCTGGAAGAGGAGGCAGTGCTCTTAACTCTTGAGCCTTCTCTCCAGAAGCCTTGGTAAAATTCCTAAGATAAGATTTGATTAATAATTTGCCTGTGTGCATAGTTTATGTAGTACCACAGTGTTTTTACATCTTTATAGCCATCTACCTTTCTATTTATGATGTAGTAAGGCATCTTATGATCCTGTGCAATAGGAGGGCAGGTGTAGGCTGATGACTCACTCCTGCTACACCACTCCTGTATTCCATGTCGTATTCTGAAAGTGAGAATGCCTCTCTACTCCATTATCCTCACAACCTGAGAGGAGATGTTGATGTCACAATCCTCTAACATTAAACAGTATGGTATTGAGACAATTGGTAAATATTTCTCCCATGTCTCAAGGAGAAATGAGCAAATTTCTTTCAGTGAATGTTAGTATCCAGGCATGGAGACATTATCAAGTGAGGATCTGTGGTCAGGAGAGAAGAGAAAGTGAGGAAGGAACAAAAGTAGGGATGCGAAAGAAGAAACTACATGAGCAGTCCATGGAGAAGGTGAGGAGGAACTGTAACATTTTACAGAAATGAAGAAGTCAGAAGGCAGAAGTTGGGGGCAATAAAACCATGGCTTCATTTCAGGAAGGAAACTGGTATCCTTTTGCAAACCAGTTAGATAGTTGATGACTCACTAATAAATACTAATAAATAATAAATTCAATGTGATACAGTCACATTGAATAAATTCTCCCTCTTTGATTTTTCACTACTCTGTATATCTGTTTCTTCTACTGAGGATACATGCTTGAGTCTGGATTGGGAGGGCTTTTGGGGTCCATACTGTAAGCCCAAGAATTCTGGTAACTTGATAAGAAAAGGTTTGATAAGCAAAGAAAGTAAATAAGGATTAGTTAACTAATCCCTTACACAGAGCCCTGATAATAGATTACTTCCTTTCCTATTCATCTGCATCCCTTTGTGTTCATCTCCAGAATAAAGAGAGTGTCTGTCATGGTTGGAATATGCTTGTCCCAGGGAGTGGCAGTATTTGGAGGTGTAACCTTGTTGGAATAGGTGTGTCACTGTGAGCGTGGGCTTTGATTTAATTTTTTTTGTGACAACCATCCTACTGTTTATTAATTTCTAAATAAACAGTTTTAAAATAGTACATGCATCTTCATGAAAAGACAAGTTATTCATTATTAAATGTCCCTAAGCAATAGATTTTTCTAAATTTCTCCTTTGCAAAAGAAACCAATTTCAAAAACTAAGTGAAAAATGTAGCAAGAACTATTCAGCTGATCTGAGCTTTCATACTGCCTTTACTGCCGGACAGTGGTGGTACACGCCTTTAATCCCAGCACTTGGGAGGCAGAGGCAGTCGGATTTCTGAGTTTGAGGCCAGCCTGGTCTACAGAGTGAGTTCCAGGACAGCCAGGGGTATACAGAGAAACCCTGTCTCGAAAAACAAAACAAAATAAAACATACTGCCTTTACACTGTACATACATGGATATCTGAAGAGTGTTTAAAGTATAATTTCACTGACTAGATATTTGCACTGAATATGTATCTGCAAAGGATATTTGCAATTCCATTCACTATTAACTGTAGCCATTGTTAAATGTAGTCTTCATTTGGAAGGCTGGATCTGGACATTTTCGGAGACATAATTGGAAGTTAGCTGCAGTTCTCTATGATGTTATGCTAGCAAAAGATAAAGTTGAGACAGGATCTGGATTTCAAACAAGTGTTAGTACATGTGTTGAGGCTCTTTTAATTGTTAAATTAAAATTACTTTTGTTTCTTCTACAGTATTTAATGTAGGTTGCATTGATTGTACATTTTCTAATTGTGTTAGTGTGTTGAAATCCAGAATGTCAGTTATGGAGGTCTATCGACCAGCTTTTGTTTTATTCCCTAGAGTATCACAGAAGCTTGGTTTTTCTGAAAAAAAAAAAAAAAAAAAAAAAAAAGCTTGCAAGTACAGGAAGAAGTGAGTCAGGCTTTAAGTAGAAGCAAGAGGATAGTGGGCTTGATTATTACTGGTATAACAGCTTTAATTACATTGCTAGCATCATTGCTTCTGCAATTGCTTTGACACAGAAGTTAAGACAGCTACTTTTGCTAATCATTTAGCAAAAAAAAGTTACTAATGTGTTGAATATACAAGAGGATTTAGATAGGCATTTGGAACAACAGATTGATGCTCTTTTTCCTATTCAAATTATTGGAAGGAGGTTCAGAGTTTAAGAGTAAGGAACCATTTCCAGTGTCATGCCAAATACCACTGGATTTGTGTTAGTTCTGAAATTTACAGTGGTAGTCATTATAATTAGGAAAAAGTTTAAAGACACTTTCAGGGTATTTGGCATAATTCTAACATCTCTCTGGATGTTTTAACTTTGCATAGTGAACGTACAAATTTAAAGAATGCTGCTCTGCTAAGTGTTGATACTGCAGATACTGATGATAAAATTACTCATGACCTGAGGTCAGTATTTCTATTTTGGTCAAGCTTCAAGAATGGCATATACAGATTGATCATGCTAGCCCTTTTTGTCCTGGGAATACTTTCATTCCAGCTAATCATGTTAAAATTTGTCTTTAACAACATCAACATGTTGGCAGCCAAAATACATGGCTTGAAACTGAAAATGGATCCCCAGACAGATTTATTAAATTAACAGGTTGGCAAGCCAAGGATGTGTAAGATTCTATACAGAGCCTTACAAACCTAAGACAGAAGTGCATTTCTTTTGATAATGCATATTCTATGATGAGCGCGGGCTTTAAGACCTGCATCATAGCTGCCTGGAAGTGAGTATTCCACTTCCTTCAGATGAAGATGTAGAACTCTCAGCTTCTCCTGCACTATGCCTGCCTACATGCTGCCATGTTCCTGCCTTGATGATTATGGACTGAACCTCTGAACCTGTAAGCTAGCCCCAATTAAATATTGTCCTTATAAGAGTTGCCTTGGTCATGGTGTCTGTTCACAGTAGTAAAACCCTAACTAAGACAGCATGTTCCCTGAAACACCAATCTGCATCTTCTTCAATATGTCTCCAGGGTTTGGAGGATGCTGGCCATGGTAAGTACCCCAAAGTGCTATGTGGATGCATGACATGATGAAGGAGAGAAGGAGAGATTTCATGATGATCCTCCAAGATAGAAAGACCAGACCTCAGCCACTTTCACCTAAGGGTAATTGTTTTTAAAATGAGGAGCATGAAGTTAGATATCCATGAATCTGAAGGAGAATGACATTTTATCTAAAGTGTCAATAGTCTCTTTCTCATTACTGGCTGTACCCCAGCCCTAGAAAGACAAAGACCAAGCTCCTGAGTTGGTCAGTTCCTCTTCCTGTGGGCCTGTTGATGTGCTAACCTTGTCTCTGAGAACTCAGGCCAACAAAGACCACATCCTGCCTGTCTGTTCATCAAACTACATGCAGAACAGTAGCTGGTGAGAGAAGACACAATGACTCTCACTCTCACATTCCTGTTTAGTCTTGGTGAGATGTGGAAAAGGGAAGGAGTCACCCAACTCTGGGAAAGACCCTACCTTATAGACAAGATCTGACCCTTGAGGATATTTCAAGGGCCCAGGAAGCTCTGGGTAGAAAAGGACAAACTTCTCACAAGACAATCTTTTTCAGGGCTACAAGAGTCTGGGCTATAAGAAGGCACTACTGGCAGGTAAGTGTATTCCCAGCTGTCCCAGGTGTCTCCACCTTACTTGGGACAATGTGTCACAACCAGGAAGGGGGGATGTGAAACAGTAAATGTAGGCTGGTGTTATAAATGGCTGAAGGGTCCTGGGGCTGGTAACAAGAATCTGGGAGATGAGTGTCCTGGGAATCGGCCTCTGGTTTCTTTCAGGGACCCTTTCTGTGCCCATGATCTGGGTGGGCTGAGACAGATTCTGTGGTCATCTGGGGGACAACTGTGAGCATCTGGTGTCAGGGAATCTTTGAGGCCCTGGAGTACCATGTGGTTAAAGAAGGAAGGCAGTCACAGTTGTACAATCAGACTTCACTGGAGCACAAAACCAAGGTCAATTTCACCATCTCACTCTTATCAGATCGTCATTCAGGGCGGTATCAGTGTTACTATCTGAGCCCTGATGGCTGGTCAGAGAACAGTAACCCAGTGAAGCAGGTGGTGACAGGTAAGGGGACTCTCAGGGATCTCAGTCCTTTCTCTCTCTCTCTCTCTCTCTCTCTCTCTCTCTCTCTCTCTCTCTCTTTCTCTCTCTCTCTCTTTCTCCTCTTTCTGTGTGTGTGCATACACATATGCATGTACTCATGAACACATGCACGTTTGTGTCCCTGAGGGTTGTGTGAGCCAGTTTATAAATTACAGCCTCTTCCTCCTCCTCTTCTTCATTTGGTCTTTTTGACACAAGTTCTCTAATACAATTCTGGTTGTCCAGGAATTCACTCTGTATACTAGGTTGGCCATGAACTCACAGATCCACTTGCCTCTGCTGGGATTAAAGGCATGAACCACCACACCTAGCTGCATTCTTCTCTCGTAGGATTCTACAGAAAGCTTACCCTCTCAGTCTTGCCTAGTTCTGCAGAGACCTCAGGAGGGAAGATGACTGTTCAATGTGCTTCTTCACTGAGATATGATAGGTTCATTTTGACTGAGGAAGGAGAACACAAGTTATCCAGGACATTACATGCACGGCATATACCCAATGAGCAGTTCCAGGCCTCTATACAAGAGGAGCTGCTTGGACATGGTCTCCAAAGTTCCTTTATTTCTGACCTTCTGAAGCATTTGAGATGGGGCTTCATTTTAGACCTGCTCCAATCCCAACTCTTTCTGCTCTATATAATTGTATATATACAAGGAACAGGAGCCAGAGAGATGCCTTAGTAATTAAGAGCCCATGTTGCTCTTGTAGAGGGCGATAGTTTGGTTCCCAGCATCCAGTTATAATACCTCACAACTGTCTATGACTCCAATTCCAGGAAATCTAACTCCCTCTTCAGGCACTGTGGGCAACTGTACATGCATACACACACACACAGACACACAGGCACACATACACAGTGACAGATACAGACACATAGACACACATACATCTCGGGAGCCATAATGGGGCAAGCTAATAATTAGCAGGTGATCATGCTGAAATGCTTGCCTTGGATTAATATATAATCTGCGGCAAGTGTGCTCCATCCAGCAAGGCTGTGGCGGACGTATTTTAGGAAAAATTCCTGTTATTAAGTCACTTTTCCTATTATTATTACTATTAAACATATGTAACAATCACTAATCTTCTCCTCTCTTTGTCCTCAGTACTTATACATGTTACAGAGTACATGGTCACATGTTACAAAGTTCCTCACAAGTTCACACCAAAATTCAAATCATAAATTGAAATAGAAGTTTACAACAGATAATGTTTACATGCATATCCATTAGGAGTAATTATCTGACTAAACATCCATCACTTGACTAGCTCCACAGGTTCACTGAAGGTTTAAAACTATAGCTAAGAAATTAGTGATGTTTTGTATAGATAAATCCAGGCAATATTTTCTTTTCTGTCCTAGCACCTATAATAAATAGTTAGTTCCCTTTTTATGACCTTTGGTTAATTGTTTTACAACCTCATTGGAATGTGCTCTGAGCAGGAGAGAGTCTGGTTACTATCTAAGGGCAATTAACTGATGATACTTGGGAGACTGGCAGAATGCTCACTGAAGTTTTGAGTATCAGAAAGGGACTTAATAGCAGTCCCATTATAAAAGAGCTTAATAATCATTGATATAATTTTAGGAATTCTTACAGGATCATCATTAAGACTTAAGAAGTAATCTATTTGTCTATATAGCATCACTACAAGACAGTACATCTCCACGGGTCTGCAAAGATCTGCTCCAAAGGGGAATGCTATTGCTTAGTGATTGTTACATATGTTTAATAATAATAATAATAATAATAATAATAGGAAAGCATATTAATAGCAGGAATCTTTCCTAAAATAAGTTCCCCACAGCCTTGCTGGATGAGGATGTACTTGTCGCAGATTATGTACTAATCCAAGGCGAGAATTTCAGGATGATCACCTGCTAATTATTAGCTTGTCCCATTATGGCTCCTGACAAATCACCAAGGAATAGTAACAGCCTAAATAGATGTCAACGCATGAACTTATTAATGGATAAACATGGGAGTGAATGCCAATCCAAGACCCATTTGCAGCAGTGCAGGAGGACAATGAAGGGCAGGTGTCTTTCTTCATGCCTTATCCTGTTGGGTACCCTGTTGGCATGCCTTACCCTGTTGGGTAGCAAAAACCCATGAGCCTTTAAACAGGACTGACTGACCTGACTCACTGATTTGTAACTGGACCACATTTAGCATCTCAAAATTCAAAACTTAAACACAACCAGGAAATGAATGACTCAGCAGATAAAGAGAGCAGAGGAGTTGAAGAAAGGAGGCATGAGGATTCCAGGGAGAATAGTGATTGGAAATATTCAGCTTGTAGGGGTGGGGATGCAGGGGGAACCTCTAGAAAGTCCCAGAGACCTGGGAGATGAGTTGCTCCCAAGATTCACTGAGTATGACCACAGCCAAAATGTCCAACAGTGGAGTGATGGAACCTGAAGAGACCATATCCAGTAGATAGTCAGGGCCTCCAGTTGAGGGATGGGGTTACCAATCCACCTTCAAAAATTTTGACCTAGGATTCTTCCTGTCTAAAAGAAATACAGCAACAAAAATGGAGCAGAGATTGAAGGAAAGGCCATCCAATGGTTAGACACTAAACCCTGACACTCTTACTGATGCCAAATTGTGCTTGCAGACAGAAGCCTAGCGTGGTGATGTTCTTGAGGCTCTATCAGCAGCTGACTGACACAGATGTAGATAATACAGCCAATTACTGCACTGAAATTGGGGACTCCTATGGAAGAGTTAGGGGAAATATTTAAAGAGCTGAAGGGGATGGCAATCCCATAGGAAGACCAACAGTGTCAAATACCTGGGAGCTCCCAGAGAGTAAGAAGACTGCTGTTCCATTTCCCCTGGCACATATGTAACAAAGAACTGCCTTGTCTGGTCTCAATGGGATAGTATGCACCTAATCCTGTATAGACTTGATGCCAGGGCAGAGGGTGGGTTGGGGTTGTATTAGTGGGGGTGCACCTTCTCAGAGGCAAAGGGGAGGAGGAATGGGGTGAAGAACTCTGGCAGGGAGGACCAAGAGGGGAGGACAACATTTAAAGTGTAAATAAATAAAATAATTAATTAAAAAAGAAATATAGTTCTGATATATCTATCCAACAGATATACCAGCTTTACCCAGATATGAGAAAGGGAACATTCTCAGAAGCCAGAACTTAGTGGAATGAGGTAATAATTTACCTGTACATGAGCCCGGGAAGGGATTCTAAATCTGGGAGAGGATTCTAATCCTGTTAGTGGGGGAAATCAAGCACTCTGGTGGTACATATTCTACTTATGCAGGACTTAAGGTCTTCAGGTGGAATTTCCCTGGTTGCTTAGCTCCTTATCACAAATGAGCAGTGTTCAGAAGGTGATCGTCCATTTTGCAAACGTAGGAGTTGGGGAAGATGTGGTCTTTGGGCAGAGGCGAGCGTCCTTATTCTTTCACACTTGGGGAATGTGAAGTAGTGTAGCTCATCTGGGATTTGTTTCATTCTTCTGGTCAGCTATTGTCTGGATCCAGAAGGCAAGTTCCTTTTCTTGTTATCCCCAAATCAAATGACATTAGCTTGAGAAACACTGTTCTCTGAACAACTGACAGTCCTTTATTCAAACTAAAATGATCAGCCATGGGGCCACTTTAACAATTTTTTTGTTTTGTTTTTGGAGACAATGTTTCTCTGTGTAACAGAGCTCTGGCTGTCCTGGACTCACTTTATAGACCAGGCTGGCCTCAGACTCACAGAGATCCACCTGCCTCTGCTTCCAGAGTGCTGGGACTAAAGGAATGAGCCACTATGCCTGGGCCCTGCCACTTCCATCTTAATGAAGTCAGTCCCACTTCCTGGCAACCTCAGTGGAACATAGACACCAAACACATTCTTCTTTCTCCTTACTCAAAGAAAGTACCAGAGGAAGGACAGTTCCAGCACCTACCTGCCAAAATTCTATTCTTTGTGTTAGACTTTCCTCAATATAAGCATCTTATTCTGGCAACAAGGTCCCTACTTCTATCTTTAATGCACACCAAACTCCTCTAAGATTCCCTGCTTGTTATGAGTTAATTATTTTTACCATTGAAAAGAAATTTCTACATCAAGGGCTTCCCCTTCCTAGCCAATTAGGCCTTAGATACTGAGAAGATGGTCTGAGGACACAGATCAAATCACGTTTAGGTGTTCTGGTTATTGGGGCCACACTTGATAATAACTTTCAGCCTCGCTCCCTTTTTGGATGTTTCAGAGGCTTCAACTGCCTTCTCCAGACAGACTCCAGAGGGTGACTAAGGGTTTTTACATTAAAACTCTTCAATGTAAGTGTGGAAATCACCATCAGCCACGTGCTGCAGTATATAAACAAGTGCTTGATATTCATCTCCCACACGTTCATTACCAGGGACAAGTTCTCAGCCTTAGTTGGAGCTGCCATGTCACTTTCTTGCTTCAAGATGCTGGCTGGACCTGTGGTTTTCTTATTTATTTAATTTAATTAAATTTTTATTCAAATATTACATCATTCATCCTTCCATTTCTTCTCTCCAGCCCTTCCCATGTCCCCCAATTTCAAACTGATAGCTTCTTTCTCTTTGATAATTACTACATATGCACATGTGTGGACACATATTTATATATAGATGTACAAATAGTCAAATTGAAAGTAGTAATTATTTTAATACCAAGAAAAGATAGGAAAATTTTTCTAGTTATTAATTACAATTTCCTCTAATATATTCTTTGAAAATTTCATATATGTATACAAATTATATTGATCATATATCCACCCCTCATTTCCATGCTTCTATTTGGATCCCATCCCTGAACCTTTCATCACATTTTGCTCCCAGTTTCCTGCTAAGTTAATATAATTTATAATGAACTTACTGGAGTCCAATTAGTGCATGGTTATAGGGTCATCCACTAGAGCATGAACAACCTTGTAGTGGCCATTCTTCTAAAGAAAAGTGATTTATTCCATCAGTTGTTCAGCAGCCACCAAATGCCAACAGTATACACACACACACACACACACACACACACACACACACACACTGGGATTTTAACTGCCATGATTTTGTATAGGTAGCCTCAGCTGTTATATGTTCATGCATTCAAAAGCTATTCATGTTTGTAAGACAGCAGTTCAGAGCACTTCTCCCCATCTTTTATATTCTTTCTACCCTTTCATGATGTTCACCAAGCCTTGGTAGAGAAAGTGATAAAGAGTTAAGCAGTTATAATTATTTGTCATCCACATTTAGATCAGTTATGAATGAGTCTACTGCAAAAAGAAGCTTCTCTAAGGAAGGTGGATTCAAGCACAAGTTTATGAAGTGAATTACTGGCATAGTTTTGTTGAGTTGAAAGGTGATGTTCTCAGATCCATTGACCTCTAGCAGGTTTGATGTGGTGCTGTGGAGGTGGGGGGAGTGGAAGACAGTTCCTCATCCTCAGTGTTTGTGGAGTTCTGTGGAGGGGAGGTTCTTTCCTGGTAGTCCCTCAGATTTTCACACTCCAATGTGGCCTCTTCTGTCACTTACATAGAATTACTTTAAATGAAGTAATCCAACCCACAACTTCTAATTAAAATAATAATACCTTTCTACGCCTAGCGTTCTGTTTTTCTGATGTGCTACTATGTTCTATCAATTCCTGTTAGCAATCTAACCTTCCTGATCCAGATTGTCCGCAGAAGTTTTCTTGTAGTTTGACCCAGAAAACAGGCAAGCTTGGGGAGATTGTTCATCAGCTCTGCAATGTGGTATTTACTCTTCTACACTTGACATACACTCAGAATTGTGACTGTCAGGGAGGGCATCAGTGGGACGCTCACTTTCAGACTCATGTGTCAGATGGCCATGGATGACTGTCTTATTTTGGGTTTCAGTTGCTGTGAAGAGACTGCATGGCCAAGACAGCTCTTATAAAAGAAAATATTTAATTTAGGCTGGCCTAGAGTATCAGAGGTTTAGTTCATTATCATCATGGCGGGAAGGATGGCAGCATGCATTCAGATTTGGTTCTGGAGAAGCTGAGAGTTCTACATCTTGATCTAAAGGCAGCCAGGAGGAGAATGTCTTCTGCAGGCAGCCAGCAGGAAAATGTCTTCTGCAGGCAGGCAGGCAGGCAGGCAGGCAGGCAGGCAGGCAGGAGGAGCCTCTCTTTTGTCCTGGGCAGAGCTTGAGCATAGAACTCCAATGCCCACATCCACAGTGACACATGTTCTCCAACAAGGCCACACCCACTCTAACAAGGCCACACCTAATAGTGCCACTTCCCATGGGACCAAGCCTATTCAAACCACCACAGTGACAATACTGGAGTGGATCCGTCCTATGTACACATAGAGGTAGACAGTTCAGTGCTCACTATGGGACTTGGATAATGAATTTAGATACCTCAGTATTCATCTGCAACAAGGAGACTGGAGCCACAAATGCCTCCCTTTGCTAGGATTCCTGACCCTACCACATGGAGAGTAAATTCTCCTACAGATTTCTGAAGATCTCACATCCTGTACTCCCTGCTCTTGTGATCTATGAAATGAGTTCTTCTACATTCAGGAGTGTTTTGTTTCTCTTTTTCTTCCCCTGACCATGACTATCTGCAGTTTTCACACATATTATGATGGAACATATGAAGATGCTCAGAGCAGAGAAACACACACACACACACACACACACACACACACACACACACACACACAGGAACACCTAAACTGTGCAACAGCAGCAGGAACTTCTCATGTTCCAAAAGCATGCTTTATCCTGGGCTGGAAATCAGTGACGGCTGAACTCATGAATGTCCCAGACACCATGACACAATTCAATACTCAATCTGAGTAGTGAAGTGCTTACAACAGGCTCCAAATGAGGAACCTCATCGATGAGATGCTAGTCTTCAAACTGGAACCACTAGTGAGTAACATGCAGTTGTTAGGGAGAAAGCAAATCTTATTTCTGCCAGGAGAATACAGCCCCAGGAAAAACATAAAACAGCAAGGAAGGCAGGAATAGCTCTGAATATTGTCCTCAGAGAGATGGCAGAAGATCATGTTACTAAGAAACGAAAGGAAGGTCTATGCTAGGGGTTGTTCTTCAGGGGAGAGTGACACTCACTCGCAGAACCACAAGAACAGCTGCTTCCTTCCCCATCTCTCTGTGTTCTCCTACATGCCCATCTCCAGAATAAAGCTCCACAGGAGGGACACAGTTGTGCTCAGTGTGCCTGCTACTCCACACCCACCCTACAACACCAATCTGCATCATCCCAGAAGAATTTTTATGGCTACAAGATGACTGATCCTTGTAAGGAACCCCCAGGGCTATGGATGGGTGAGCTGAAAGAGTGGATTCTCTATGGGGAGCTTTTAAGAGAGAAGGATCAGTTTTTAGCTACCCTCAACTGGAAGGGGCTAGCAAAGGAAGGTAACAAAGCTATTTGCTGCTGCACTCTTAATAAGTGAGGTTAAGCTAGTTCTCCATATCTGTAAGAATTTCTGGAGCCCATCCAAGTCACAGCCCTGGGGAAATGAGAGGCAGTCGCCTAGGGAGGGCTATTTCCCTTCCTGTGTGTATTCTGAAGGTTCCTCTGTGTAATCATGTGATTGTAAAAATCCCGCCTCTCTAAACATCTCATACTTTTTGATATTTGTCTATCTCGCCAGATGCTGTGGTCTCTCTAAGTGAATTGCAGTCACTGAGAGAAGGTGCCATGACCTTTTTCTTCACAGCCGTGCTCTATCTGGGTAAGCCTTGAAGAGAAGAGGGGTAATAATGGTCATATAGCTAGGTTCTAGCCAATCAGGAAACTCCAGGGTGCTTAAGAGATTTCAGTGAAGGGAAGGAGTGCTTAGATAGGTGGTAGGGACAAACTTTTCATAGGGGATTCTCTTCTAGGGCTGAATATGGGCCAAGAGACCTTGGGGTTGGAAGGTGAGTACATGTATAGCTGTTCCAGATCACTCCTCACTGGGGAACTGAAACCATCCCTGCTCAATAGGGCTTGAGAGCATCAGGTAATACCAGGGAAGGGGTGCTAGAGCTGAAGGCTGAGAGCTGAGGAGGGAAGACCTCTGACTGTGTCCCTCATTTCTTTGCAGGGAATTCCCACAAGCCATCCCTCAGTGTTCAACCAGGATCCGTGGTTGCCAGAGGGAAGCAGGTGACCATCTCATGTGAGGTGACCACAGGGGCCCGGGAATTCCGTCTTTATAAAGAGGGGGGTCCACATCCTTGGCGCACACAGAGCACTCCAAAGGTCACAAACAAAGCTCAGTTCTTGATCCCATCAACTGGACAACGATATGGAGGGATATATCGCTGTTACTATAAGACCCCCACTGGGTGGTCAGATCACAGTGATCCTCTAGAGCTTGCAGTGACAGGTGAGAGGACACCCAGCCCCAAACTCTGTCCTCAGGATAGGGGTCTACTTTCAAGTGTACTGTCTCACAGCTCAACATTGGAAGGCAATGTAAGCTGAATAAGCCCACTTAGCATGCTACAACTTTTTCTTCTAGGATTCTATAGTAAACCAAGCCTGTCCACCCAGTCCAGCACCGTGATAATCTCAGGGGAGACTGTGACCCTTCAGTGTGTCTCAGAGCTTGGATTTAACAGGTTTGTTCTGACTAAGGAAGGAGAACAGAAGCCGTCCTTGATCCGAGACTCAGAGTTTATAAACTCTACTGGGCAATTCCAGGGCCTGTTTCCTGTGGGCCCTGTGAACCCCAGCCAGAGGTGGAAATTCAGATGTTACGGCTATCATATCAACAGCCCCCAGGTGTGGTCCGAACCCAGCGATCTCTTGGAAATACATGTGTCAGGTGAGGAGGCTTCATCATTGACTCAATCAGTGGTTGACAACATAAATTTACTGCCAAGAACTTTGCTTTTCCTAAGGAAGTTCCAGGAAATAAGAGGATGAGGAAAACTGAGCCAGGGCCTCAGATTGGGAGGAGAAATGGCACTTGCAGATCAAATATGAGGGGACAGGTGCCAGCTTTTTGATCCCCCAGGCCATTTTCTCTCTAGGGTTGCCTAAAAAGCTCCCACTTTGACTTGGCAAGATTCTCAATCTTTTTCCCTGGAGAGAACCTGACTATTATTTTTACATAAATTATGAAAGATTTTCTCTGTCCAAAAGATAGGGAAGTGACCTCATCCACAGCCCTGGCCTGTTATTTACCAAGCAGGGCTCTCAAGGCCAACTTCCCTTTGGGCTTTGCAAGCACCCCTACAGGGGCTGGCTGGATGCTATGGTGTATACAACATCTCTTTCAAGTGGTCAGTACGTAACAAGTCTGTGAAAACCCTGATTACAGTTGAGGAGTCCAGTAGGTCCATTCAGAGACTCAAAACTGCACAGGACCAACTGTGGGAGAAGAGCTGGTGGCCAAAATGAAGGATGAAGAACAGATCAGGAAGTGGGGTAGGAACAGAGTCAGCAAAAGCAGGAAGAGAGCCACATCCTCAGAGTCAGGTTCAGAAATAGTCAGCACTTCCCTTATCTCTCTTCCTCTAGGATAGCTCCCTGTCACACTCTCCATCTCAGTGAAGCAAGGCCTCATGGTATCCTGTGGAGAGTAAGCGACCCAGCAGTGTCAATCACTGAGAATGATAGACACTTTTTTCTCTGATCAAGGGGAGCGTAGCTTCTTCCTTTCTGTGTCTAAGACTGATACCTCTTAGATCAGCAGTATCAGGCGGAATTCTCTAGGAGTGCTGTGTCATCCCCTCTTGGGGACACCTAAAGATGTAGCTGTTGAAACTCATAACCCTATCGGTTGGTCCCCCTGTGGAACTCAAGGTCTTAGATAAGAGGACCCCCACCCGTTCTGTCTGTGCTTTAGAGTTCAGTCATTGCCCTTTCCCCAGGAGAACTCTTGCCTCTAATTATAGGTTTTAGTGAAATCCAGGAAAAGTTCATTATAAAGTGACTCTGATGCAAAGATCAGAGTGGGTCTGAAGCATCCAGCAAAGAGACCAGTAGGAAACTCCTTCAGAAGGGAGAGGGTTCATCCAGATCTGCATGAAGTTATATAATGAGAGTATTGTACATTTACAGGAAGGAACATATGAAGTAGGGCCAGAGTTGTAGCTCAGTTGGTAGAATCATTGTCTAGCATGCAAGAGGCCCTCCCTGGCACTAAATATACTGTGAACCATGACTGGTACTTGTAACTGCAGCACTCAGAAAGTAGAAGCAGGAGGATGAGAAATTCACAGTCATCTTAGGTAACATAGTGAGTTGAAGGCCAGTCTGGGCTATGTAAGACACTATCCCAAAGAAAAGAAGAAGGAAGAAAGAAGACAGACAGGAAGAAAGGAAGGAAGGAAGGAAGGAAATAAGAAAATGAATGGCAAACATAAAAAAAGAAAGAACAAAATTAGGAAGAGACGGAGGGAGTAAGAAATTAAATTAAGAAATTTGGACTTGCCAGGCATGGTCGTGTACACCTTTAATCCCAAGACTCAAGAGACAGAGGCAGATAGATCTCTGTGAATTCAAAGACAGCCTTGTCTACCTAGCAAGTTTCAGGACAGCCAAGGCTACAAAAGATTTTTG